AAAAAAAAAACACTCATTATTTGAAACAAAACAAAATGTTATATCATACAGATAAATTTTATCAAAAGTAAGTTATCATCTTATGTACCGTATATGTCAAAATTCACAAAATCATGAATATTTATTTATTTTTTATTTATTTGTTACAAGGACATTTATGTAAATTCGAAAGAGATATCGAATAGGTACACAAAAAAAGAAACTTTCCGCAACGCTCTCCTACTTGGAACCTACTCTTTGCTTTATTTTATTCGTCCTTTCTCAGTCACCTACCGGAGAGTTTAAACCACCGCCATCAGACATCTTCTCCATATATACCGCCCTCCACTACCCCTCCACCACACACTCTCTCCCTCTCTCTCTCTCTCTCTCTCTCTCTCTCTCTCTCTCTCTCTGCCTATACACATCTAGAGAGAGAAACACATAGTTTAACGACAAGAAGATGGGATCTGAGTTGACATACAGGCGGCACGAGCCTCAACCCACGTCGGATTCTTACTCGCCGAAGCCCAACAAGCCATGGCTCGCTGTCACTCGCCTTGTTCGTTACATGCTCCGGGAACAACGTCTTCTGTTTGTCCTCGTCGGCATTGCCATCGCCACCTTCGTCTTCGCGATCCTTCCTTCCTCCACCGATACCTCCACAGGCCGCATGACCGATGCCTACTCCGTCTCTGAATCGGTCCAAATGACAAACCCGAGACGACCCGTTCTTCATGCTGGAATCGAGTCGTTCAATATGGGCGGGAAGATTCCTTTAGGTCTGAAAAGAAAGGGGTTAAGGATTGTGGTGACGGGTGGTGCAGGTTTCGTCGGAAGTCATCTGGTTGATCGGTTGATTGCGAGGGGAGATAGCGTGATTGTTGTTGATAATTTCTTCACCGGGAATAAGGACAACGTAATGCATCATTTTGGGAACCCTAGATTTGAGCTAATTCGACACGATGTTGTTGAGCCCTTACTACTTGAAGTCGATCAGATTTATCATCTTGCTTGCCCTGCATCCCCTGTTCATTACAAATACAATCCCATCAAGACAATCATATCCTTAATTACTCTCATTCCGTCACCATTTAACTTCAAACTTTCATTTTATTATTACTAATTCTTTTGTAAATTCTCAATTTCCCTTTTGTGAATCCTTAATTCCAATTTCGTTCCTTCTCACAAAACGAACGTTGTGGGAACACTGAACATGCTAGGGTTAGCAAAGAGGATCGGAGCTCGCTTCTTGCTAACAAGCACCAGTGAGGTATACGGTGATCCTCTTCAACATCCTCAAGTCGAAACTTACTGGGGCAACGTCAATCCTATCGGTCAGTTCTTTCTTCTTCTTCTTGTGGATGAAATCTGGTAGATTACCAATCACCATAAGTAATTGCAATTAGATCAATCAGGGATTTGAATGGTCAATGTTTACATCACCATTTGCGGTTCTCTGATTGGTTTCTGAACTTGCTGTGTGAAATTGTGATGTTAATTTGGTAAATTTGGGGGATCTGAGGGGCAAAATGGGGAAGAATGTATAAATATGAGAAAGAAAAAACGAAGATCTGAGGATACATTGTTTGACAGGTGTTCGAAGCTGCTACGATGAAGGAAAACGTACTGCAGAAACGTTGACCATGGACTACCATAGAGGTGCAGGCGTCGAGGTTTGTTTTTTACTTTTTGAGATCTCTTTACCTAAATTTAAATATTGTGGTCCCACCATATTGTCAAAATATCAACTCTTTTAGGCCAGCAATCACAAAAAATATCGATTTTTGTGTGTGTGTGTGAAGAAAGACATTAATATTGGATGATAAACAATAATCAATAGTTTCATATTGGAATTAGTGTAAATCCCAAAGTGTTGTGATTTTTGTCATTTTGTAAAAGAACATCTACAAAAAAAAAAAAAAAAAAAAAAAATACAATGTTTAAAAAGTCAAGCTTCTGTTGATGTGTCATAGTGGAACCTTTTATTTTATTTTTTTTGTTACAAGTCTAACAAATTGTCATTATCTTTTTCGGACTGTGCCAAAAGAATAAAAAAGCATTCTTTTTTTTGGTGGCAAGTTTTCAATGTAATTTAAGTACATAGTATTAATTTGTTTGGCCACAAGCTTTATCGAATTTAAAATTAATTTAGTATTAAACGAAAAATAAAAAATTAACATAGTGAAATGTAAATGCAAATTGTTACTATTGTTTCGAACTTGGCTTTGTGAAAATTGAAATGTACTATAGGTACGGATTGCGAGGATCTTCAATACATATGGTCCTCGGATGTGCATTGACGATGGACGTGTCGTTAGTAACTTTGTTGCTCAGGTAAATTAATTATTCTTCTATTTTTTGTAATATTTAATTATATTTATAAACAAACGATAATGATTAACGAATGATACAGGCGCTAAGGAAAGAACCACTCACTGTTTACGGAGATGGCAACCAAACAAGAAGTTTCCAATATGTTTCCGATTTGGTTAGTAATCGATTATGTTATTTTTTCTTCATATATCTCTATATGTCACACTTGTATTTAATATCACATATGACAATTGTCATCATGAAAAATCAACCTTGTAATGAATTTGTTGGAATTGGATCCGAAGGTTGAAGGTCTAATACGATTAATGGAAGGAGAACATGTCGGACCTTTTAATCTTGGAAACCCCGGTGAATTCACCATGCTCGAACTCGCCAAGGTATATACATTTATATATCCTTTAATTATTTCCACTTTTTCAAAATCGGGTAAAAATGTGTAATGCTTTTAACGATTGTTAAATGCATAATGCTTTGGTCCCACAATTTTTGTTTTTGTTTTTTATAAAATTTTGACAAGTTGTGATGGTCAACACAAACACAACAGGTGGTCCAGGAGACAATAGACTCGGAAGCGAAAATAGAGTTCAGGGCAAACACGGAAGATGATCCACACAAAAGAAAGCCGGATATTACTAAAGCTAAAGAGCTTTTGGGATGGAAGCCTAAGGTCTCTCTTCGCAAGGGTCTCCCTATGATGGTTTCTGACTTCAGGCAACGCATTTTTGGTGATCAAAAGCTGAAGGAGTCTGCGGCCACCACCACCACCACCACAGCATAGACAAGCTAGTTGGACTATGTTTTTGTGTAACTGTTTATTCCTAATATTGTATACTAGTTTTATTCATTACTTTTTTTTTTCTTTTCCGAATCAATGAATTTTACCTAACTTATACTTTCATTGTTATAATTTAAGAAATAGTATGTGCTTTGAAAAGAAAAAAAAGGATCGGCAAATATGCATTCTAAGACATGAGGTTGATTGTTAATAACTAGCTAAGTGTTGTGTAATATATGAGGTTGATTAAAAAAAGTTAAATATAAATTTGTAAACGTTAAGTATTTTTTAAAGTAAAATTTTTGAAATAAATATAAACAAAATGATGAATAAATAAGTAAACAAATCCATACTAATAAAAAAATTATCGGTGTATTTTAAATCGATGTAAACATCATTGGGATTTTTTGGATAAGATGGAGGAGTAGATGTCTTGAATTCTATAATCAAACTGTGAAACTGATGTGTGTTATGAGTTAAAAAAACGATTTTATCCTTAAAATTAAGATTTAGAATATGTAAAGAAAAAATAAACATATTTATTGCAATTTAATATTCCATTTATTAAATTTAATACATTACATATATAAATAAATAGAGAAGTTATATTTAGAACGTAAAAAAGTTGAGAGCGCACCAATCATTTTCGAAGGGACAATATATGAATTTTACAATTGCATTAATAATATAATCAACTTTATTAAAGGATAGTTCCCTATAATGTTGCAATCATTTATTTCAATTTTTTTTTTAAAATTATGTTTTTTTTGTTAAAATAAAACAATTAAATTGAAAGAACTGTTTTCTAAAATATGAGATTAAATTGAAAGAATTGTTTTCTAAAATATGAGATTTAATTGATGGATCATAATATTGACTTTTAAATAAAAATATATTTTAATTGATTTTTTATTATTGGAGTATAAAAGTAATTTTATCAACTTTCTATCAAAATAAAAAGAAAATGATCATTTTTTCTTGTATCATAAATGAATAAAAATATACTATTAAATAATACATGGATGATTATAATATGATTAAAGTTATTCATTTATATTAATACGTCTATATTCATACGTGATTTAATCACTTCAAAACACATTTCATAAACATACTTTTATTCGTAAGCAAATAATATCTAAAAATTTACAATATATTTTTTTATAATCATAAATGAATACAACACAAACAAAAAGTTGAATACAATAATAAGAGGGTGTTTAAGATTGCTTTTTAACATCAAAAAGTACTTTTTATAGAATGATTTTTTGGAAAAGAATTTATTTAAAATGTGTTTAGATTAGCAAAATAATTTTTAGTGTAACTTTTACATGTAAAGTCACAAAAAATCAGTTTTTTATGATTTTTTGATACCCTTCTTTTCCTTTATACAAAAATCAAGTTTTTGGCGTAACTTTTACATGTAATATCTAAAATTTAACAATGTATTTTCTTATAATCATAAATGAATACAACACAAACAAAAAGTTGAATACAACAATTAAGGGGTGTTTGTGAATGTTTTTGAACATCAAAAGTTTTTTTTGTAGAATGATTTTTTTGCAAAAGAAGTTATTTAAAATGTGTTTGGATTAGCAAAATAACTTTTGGTATAACTTTTACTCTATGCAGTTATCGCGGTCAAAATTTCGATAGCGGTCACAGGCCGCTATTTGAAATCGCGGTTTTCGCGGTGGTATAGCGGTGCTATAGCGGTTTTTTTAATATTATATTTAATTTAATATTTTTATATTATATTTAGAATTAATATCATAAAATCTAAAAAGTCTATATAGAATTAATATCATAAAACCTAAAAATTCATAGAAAAACATAACATAATATTCAAAATTCTAATATAGTAATATAGAAACTACGTAGTGTCAATTGTCAAAGTGTCAAATATAGTTTAATCGCATGGCACGGGTTCGGCTTCCGAGTCAACATCATCCAAAGCATTCACTTCTTCATCAAGATCGTTCCCCACATCTGTAATATCATCACCATCATCATCTCTATAACGCTCTCGTTTGCTCCTAATATTTGGTTGAGCGTCTACATTCGCTCCCATTGCTTCTTGCACATCTGACCAAAGAAGGTCATCACCACCATCCACAAAGTCTTGAAGCTCATCTTCCGTTGGTATTGTCCAATCATCATTCTCCTCAACATCTCGTAGCAAAATAGGATCCAAAGATTTGTTTTGTAAAGACATGAAGCGCTTTTGCAACCTTGTGTTGTATTGGATGAATACAAGTTCATTTAGTTTTTGTTGCAAAAGACAATTTCTTTTCTTAGAATGTAGCTGCAACAAAAGAATTAAAATATTTTAGTTAATATGTTAGAAGTTCCAATCTAGCTAATATCATTTCTAAATTATAATTATAAAAATACTTGTTAAAAATAAGTAAAAAAAACTTACATTGTCAAATGTACTCCAATTTCGTTCACAAGGTGAAGCACTACAAGTTTGACTAAGAACCGTGATAGCAAACTTTCGTAAGATAGGTGTATCTATCCCATAAGAACGCCACCATATATCTACATTTTACAACAAAAAAGTTCCTAAGTTAATAAAAATAAATAAATAAAAACTTTTGGTTACATTATAATTTTTATACTTACACGGTGCAACTTTTGTCATACTCCTTTTAGCAGCTGGGGATCCAAATTGTCCACTTAAATCAATGTAGAGATTCAATTCTTGTCTCAAAGTATCATTTTCATCTTCATCGGGAACAAGACGGTCAATAGCAACATAAAGTCCGGTCATAATCTGTTTATTAGCCTCATATTCCTTTGACTTATCTCCATGAAAAATTGCAGGATTAAGGAAACACCCAGCTGTACATTAAGTCATTCACTAAAACGTTAAAACCAAATAATTGCATACTATTTTAAATTAAATTAATAACTAATAAGTAAAAGATTTATACCTGCATGTAAGGGATGAAGAAGTTGGTCATTACATCTTGTTTGAATGATAGACAAAATTCTACCTACCAGTCTTTTTTTGTCATTATTCCCATCATTTAGATATTTGCTTATTTGATCTTGTGCTCGACTCATCGCATCATAGATGTACCCCATGCACGGTCTTTCTTCTGTGTCAACCAAACGAACAATATCCACCAATGGAGCATATATTTGGCAAGCTAAATATACACCATCCCAAAAATATTGCTTTGATACTATCTTCTCAACTCTCTTTCCAGGAACTTTCTTTGCAAAGTCACTTTTTCTCCATTGCTCGGATACAAACAAAACTTGGAGATGGTGTCGATTCTCATGGACACTCTGTAAGGTGTAAAATTGGGTAGCAAATCTAGTTACACAAGACCTGTGCAACTCTCTATTCTTTGTCAACTTTCTCATCATATTGAGAATCCGTCCATGGTTATAAATATAAACCACCAATAGCTCTTGCTTCATTCAAAGCGGTCGCGATTGTTTCTTCTTTCTTCCCAATATCTTGTACAATGAGATTCACACAGTGTGCTGCACATGGAGTCCAAAATAATTTTGGATGTTGTTCTTCCAAAATCTTTCCTGCAGCTTTGTAGTTTGAACCGTTGTCTGTAATAAACTATAAGAAATAAAAAAAACTTAATTAATAAAATGGATATAATTTTTTTTTAAAAAGTAATAACTAATAACTAATTAGAAACAAATATTACCTGCACAACGTTTTCCTCTCCAACTTCTGCTATCACCTCATTTACCTTCTTCACAATATATTCAGCATTATGTATATGCTCTGATGCATCAATCGACTTTAGAAAAACTGTACCCGTAGGACAATTGACTAAAAAATTGATCAAAGATCTATGCTTGCCATCTATCCAAAAATCAGACATAATGCTACATCCAAATTTCTTCCATTGTGATCGAAACGAATCCACAAACTTGTGGGTATCTTCTAACACGTCCTTTAACAATGTCACCCGCATATTATGATAACTTGGAGCCGGCATGCCTAACATTTATATAATTAACAAAACTAGTAAATATAAAAATGTTAACAACTTAACATTAATCAAATAAGAAAGGTAACAAAATTGATTACCTCTTCCATATTCTCCAATGGCATTGATCGCATCTTGGAAACCTTCATCACGTACGGCATTGAAAGGTAAGCCTACCGAATAAGCCCAAACTGCAATCTTTTTCCAAGCTACCTTCTTCAACTTCTCTTTAATTGGATTATTCTTATCCAATGTAGTTTGCTTTCCTTTTCCATGGTCCGGCTTATAAACATCATCAATAGGACCCCGTACATTACTAGAACTTACAAACTTTCTTTTTTTAACTTGTGGCTGTGGGGTATCGTCTTGCTCATCATCATTTTCAGAAAGGTCTATACAACTTGTTGATCTAAGTATTTCTATTGTTCTTTGTCTTTCCTTTTTTTTTCTTATCTTTTTCTTTCATTGATTCAAGCACTTTCTTAGTGATCTCCGTAGTCACATTAGGGCAAGCAGCTACATTTCCTCCTGTATGAGTGAGGTGTTCTTTTAACCTTGTGATCCCTCCACATACTCTCTTGTCACACAAGGTGCACCAAATATTTTGTTTTTTAATGGATCCTTTTGAACTCCCCATTCCCATGCCATATCTTTATTTGCACTTACGCTAGTTGTATTGGCATCTGATCTCGTATTAGTAGTAGTAGGAGTGGTGGTGGTGGGCGGATTCACAGAAGCATGTGAAGAATTAGCATCCATATTGGTCAATTCACAATTGATTAAACCTGTTTCACAAATCACAATCACATGTCATTACTCATTATTATTCATTAACAAAATAACTACTTAATGTTTTATGTTCCTATTTTCTAAATCTTAACAGATTACATCAACATGAGTACACAAATTAACAAACATAAATGAAATTGGAATGTTGATGCTGTTTTTGGAACAATCTTAACAGATTCTCAACTCTTTACTATCTAAAAAATAAAGCATTAAAGGAAAAATTGACAAACATAAATGGGCAGTGGAGTCGGAAGAATTAAATTGACAAACATAAGTTAAACATAAGTGGGTCGATGCTAATGTTGATGCTGTTGGAACTCGGAAGAATTAAAGGAAATTACATATCTCTACTCTTTAGTCTTTACTATCTAGAAAAGAAAGCATTCAAGGGAAAAATTACATACCTGATGCTGTTGGAAACTTGGAACTTGCAAGCCGATTAAGGGGAAGGGAGTCGGAGTCGATGCTGTGGACTGTGTGTGGAGGTGAGGCAGTCGATTGAAGGGTAGTGAAGGCCGAACTCGGAAGAAGCAGCCTCGCAGTCGCAACTCGCAAGTCGCAGCCTCAGGTCGCGTCTTACTTCTTCGTCTTCATCATAACTCAATTGCTCAAGCTTCTTACTTCTTCGTCTTCGCAAGTCACAGGTCGATGCTGTGGACTGTGTGTGGAGGTGAGGAGGTCGATTCAAGTCACGAAGACATGAACTCACGATCATGTTTTTGGAATAATTTTAATTAGGTTTTTCATTGGGCTTTTCATAGTAGCGGGCTCATTAAAAGTGTTTTTTGTTGACAAATGAATCAAATGGACCACATGTATTAGAAATAATTGAAATATGCAAGAAAATACAATAGCGGCCATAGCGGTGCTATCTTGGTCATCAGAATAGCGGTTAATTGCGGTGAATTGCGGCGCAAATTGCGGTACCGCGATTCGAAAACGATAAGTTGAAAATAGCGGTTGGCGACTACCGCAAAACGCTATAGCGCGCAATCGATAGCATAGCTTTTACTTTTAAATCAAAAAAATCACAAAAAATTGTGACTTTTTGAAACCTCTTTTTTTTTCTTTTTTTTTTCTTTATGCAAAAAGTCATTTTCAAAAAAACTTTTCTATTATCTAAATATTTTTTGACTTTTTAAAAAGTTAAAAATAATTCTGAAAGCAATATGAAATACCCTTTAACTATTATTTTTGTAATCATAAATAAATAAATTATTATTTTTATTCCTTTTGGTTGTACGTTAACACTTCAATGTTGAATTCCATAAGTATCTTGATATGTTGATGTTCACTATATATTATCAAAGTACAATATAAATATCAATAACAATAACTAAAAAAAAAAAAAAAAAAAAAAAAAAAAAAAACCTTAAGGATCTCGAGAAACCATTTAATCATAAATAAATACACTTCAACAAAATAAAAACTACACTTGGATTCCTATATTTATAGTTATATTCATAAATGAATATATCCCTTTAATCATAAATGAATATACCTAAACAAAATATATAGATACTTTTAGGGTGAAGGGGGTTATTTCATCCCAACCCACTCAACTTACTGCTACATCAGCTCCACATTATTTTTTATCTCTCCTCACTTTTCATTTTTTCCAACCCACAACATATACAAATCATATTTTTCTCAATCCACTTAATTTTTTATTTTAAAATAAACATAAACTAATAAAAATCATACAAAACTAATTACAAAATATTAAAAACTTAAAAAAACTAATCCACAAACTAATCTAAAACATATAAAATTACTTTTATACAAAGACAATCAGTTAAACATATAAAATTACTAGAGACAAACTAATCATTTATCAAAGATTTAGTAAATCCAAAACTCAAATGTTATAAAATAATGAAATATGGACAATTAATTAAAAATATTTTTGACAAAACAAAAAAAAGTTTGTCTAATAATCTTATTCTAATCTTATATCTGGAGCCCAATAAAAATTTGATAAATTATTAATTTAATTTTATTGAGCTCAATATTCAGCCCAAACGTATAGCCCTATAAAGTTTAGGGCATTAAAAGACACTTCTGATTAATACGGTTTAAAGTAACAAAATAATTTCCATAAAATATAAAATTTCAATCACATTTTTTTCAAAATTCATAACATCAAACGGTTTATTCAGAATATCATACTATCCCCAATAAAACGCTAGAGAGTGAATGTTGCGCCATCATGTCGGGCTCTTCCCCTTAGATCTCAAAGTACCTGAAACAACCAACAAACTATAAGTTAACGCTTAGTGAGTTCCCCATAACATACCCCGTACAATCCGCATAATGATATAATCATATAAACCATACAAGCCATGCATATAAATGATATGTGCATATTGAGCTATATATTTAGTATAGATTTTCATTACTTATTAGCTAATTATCTACATATTATGGATAAAAGATACTTAATATTATTCAAATTGTATTTTCAATCCAAAAGATAAGCTCGAAAGCAAAAGGAAGCAGGAGGTACGATCAAAATCTCGGGAACAGAAGAAAGAAGAAAAATGCTAAATTCTGAAGCTACTCGGCAAGTAGGGACGTCTACTCGATGAGTACACACGAGGTTCGCGATGCAATACGTAAAGTCCTTGCCGTACACGGATTCTTCAAGGGGACTCAACGAGTCGGTTGGCTACTCGACGAGTAGCCTCTGTTTTAAGAAATCTATAAATAGAAGTAACAAACCCGAATAGATGCTCTCTCTGGAACTTTGGTGGAATTACTTGGCGATTAAGGAGGTATCTGGAACCTTGGAAAACGTTAAAGAACCCTAATCCTTCATTCTAAGAAGATTAAGGCAACTTAGGTTTAATTTTCCACTTTACCTTTGAATAGAACTATGTTACACTTGTTTAACTTCGTTTTTAGGTTTTCATATACTATAATTATGAACTAATTTCGTTACTTTCTATTTAGGGTAGACAAGTTTGCTCCTATGAATTAATTTACACTTTTAATTAATTGTTATGTAGTGAATGTTGTTAAATTAAGCTTGTTAAAGACCCTTATGCATTAACCATAACTATTTTCTGTTAATTGCTAAATAATTAAGCTGCATAAACATCTCTTAATTGCTTATCTCATATAATTTATGTGAACACATTGTTATATGCCTAGGAATAATGAATATGAAACTAGGATTAACTAGAGAATGAGTAAATTAATGTGTGAGCTTGTATGATACACCATCAACAAAAGGTTAATTGAATCACCAATTTAGTTTACTAATTACAAGTCTTATTTAACCCGAATAATTAAACTAGGAATTTATTAGTTTAATGACTTGATCACTGCTTAAATTAATTTATTTTCTAAGAATTGGTAATAACGAATGTGAATCTAATCACCATAGTCGGTAACCAATAACAATTAATCCATTATATTACCATAAAAATTAATCATATGAGTAAATGAATCGAACCTAAACAAAAACCTTTTGATCACTGAATTTAGTTGGTTTTTACGTGTTTTCAACTATTAGTTGATTAGTTAAGTTTTAGTTAAGTTTCTAGTCTTCCAAAACTAGAGAAAACTCTTCCTTTTATTATTTGTTTTTTAGATAATTCTAATAGTTAGTTTAATTCATTG